GCCGAGCATCCCGGGCACGCTGCAAGAGCAGCATCTTCATGTCCAGAAAGCGGCGGAGGCGGCTGCCGGGAGATGCTGCAGAGGGAGCCTGGCGGCTGGGGAGAAGCCGTGCTCACCAGGGCCCGGGGGAGAGCTGCCATCCCCAAACCCTGCCAGCCTGCCGTTATTGCATCTCAGCATTACGCCTGCATGTGCAGGAACCTTCCCGCAGGTGAACTTGTCACCCAAGGGAGGAAGAGTCAAACTCTGAAGAACAACAAGTTTTTTGCTTATTAATAGCCAGGCTCTGGCTGCAGCCTGGACTTGATGGTAAATACCCGAGGGAAGTGTAGAAAGTGCTCTCCTCCCTCCTAACAGTGCAAGGCCAGGCTTGAGCACCCAGAGATGGTCCCAAACGACTGTCAGAGGACGCTTTCCCCCTTGCTCTACACTCCAGCATGTGGGCTCCAAGAGCAGACCGTGCACGTCTTCCCATCCAGATTGCAGGGATGGCATCTGCTCCCTGGAGAGCTGGCAGGGCCACCTGGGCATACCCGCGGTCCCAGGGGTGTCCACGCCACAGGTAACTCAGCTCAGCCGCGTGCCTGATGCACAGAGCCACTGCACAGGCACTCCCAGGGGAACTGAGCAGTCCGACCCCACCCCAGTGCCATGACTTCTCCCCAGGAACGTCTGACAGCCCTTCACTGACTTTAACCCCCAGCCTTGGAGATGCGGCAGAGGGACCCACCATGGAAATGGCCGCTCTCACCCCAGTGCCTGTTTCCTACAGCTCTGCTCTGGTTCCCGGTCCTGGCTTGGACTCGCTCGCCAGAGCCAGCTGTACCACGGACATGACCCAGCTGAGCCAAGCTGCCAGGCCACAGGCATCGCCCGTGCCCAGCAAGATGGTTGACCTCACAGGGGAAGGACCAGAAGCACCCACTGGATTCCAGCAAGACTCGGGTCCCAAACACCTGACCTCATCATCGGTGGTTTGGTATCACCTGGATCCAGCCTGGGAGAGGAATTTGGGGTAGGCGGGAAGGGAGGAGAGAGGGAAGAGACCTCGCAATCAAAATGGAAAAAGGGATGAAAACCAAACTGCTGCTTACTAATGAAGAATTGAACAAAGGGCAAAGAAGCCTAGAAGGTCTTATAAAAGTATAAGCAAAATAGCTGTGGAGGTGAAGGGGCGGAGACACAGCTAAAGGCATCCTGTAGGTAGGATAAGGGGAAGATGGGAAAAAAGCCCAGGTAACAGACTACCCTCTTCCTGGACCCAGGAAGCCAGAGGAACAGCAGCCCTAGAAAGCAGGATTTATCTCCTGGACAACATCCATGCCGCCTTTGGCCAGCCTAACCCTTCCCGCCGCTTCCCCAGCAGCATCCTATGCTCAAGCTGTCCGGCGAAGAGAAAAACACTTCGGGAAGGACCATCCCCTACTCCGGCCCTACAGACCATCCTCAGGCAGTCTGGCAAGGAGATCTTGAAGACACACGCGAGCGCTTGTCACGAGGCTGACTCAGCAACGGCTCCAGCACGGCAACCCTCCTGGGTGCTGTGGGGTGATAAGTGACGCGAGAGGCCAAGCAGAGGCAGCATGAAGAAGCCTGAAAGTCTCTTGAAATAACTCTCAGAAGTGCAACACAGGTACAGAGTAGAAACACGTTTTAATCCCAAGAGGCTTTGGCCGCAACTGCTCTTTGGTTTGAAAAGGAAACACCAGCAGTTAGCAGAGAGCCCTTCACGGTGTGATGCCCAGGGGACATCGGCCCCCCAAACCAGCCCCTGCCTCCCCACCCAGCACCGCGCTCCCAACACTCACATGCCTCCTGCTATTTCCATCACCTCTCACCTCACGGTAGAAAACATGACCCAAGCGCACAGCAACAGAGATCGCCCCGCTCCCCCAGCCCGCCTGTACGCAACACAGCTGCTTCCAACTAGACAATCTCCCTATAAAAATATACCTGAGGCTCTTGGCAGCCGCTCAGCCACCCACTCTGCACAGGTCCTGCACCCGCCAGCACCGAGGTCTGGCAGTAGAAGCCACCGTGGGCTTCTACTGGATTTGGACTGTCGCTGGGCTGCAAACAAGATGAAGAGACCGAGTCACCACGGGCCCACGGCCACTCCTACTTAATGACGCTCTAATGCCCCACCAAGATGTTTTCGAACCTGCAAGCACCTACTCACAGGCACCAGCTGATGACCTGGACCTGAGCTCGTCCCCGCTGAGCTCCCCACAGCATCCCCTTTCCCCTAGTTACGGGCCGCCGAGCGCACAGCCCTGGTGATGCTCTCTCTGCCCAGGGCACTGCTTGGCTGTTTCCACATCCTAAGTGGAGCCAGAGCTCTTCACTCGGACACCGAGGGCTTTCGCAGCTACTCAGCACGAGGGAAATGCTCCCCAACAGTCCCTGTACCCAGCTGGTACTAAGGGGACATGGCAGCTCCATGGCCAGCGCACGGTGCGAAGCTGTGGCCGGGGCCCACCGCCATCCTCCTCTGCCCCAAGCACCCGAGGCTGTCCTGCCATCCTGGCCCCTGGGGAGGGAAGAGAGCAGGGCACAGCCATTCGGGGGCCACGCTACCAATTTCTCCAAGCTCCTCCTCTAGCCAGCAGCTGCCCCAGAAAGAAATACAGAAAGAAATACAAAAGCCCCCTGAGGCTCCAGCAGCCTCCATTTCACACCCTCCTCTTACTAAAGATGAGCCTCTCTGCAAGCTCCCAGCTCTGGGCACTGATCCTGGCTGCCGGTGCCGTGCTCAAGCAGTCAGGGCGACCGCTGAACCCCCAGCTCTGTGGGACCTGCGGCAGCTGCGCAAGGCTGCTTCGGGCAAGAGCAAAGCTAACCACGGCCCGAGGCAGGAACAGAGCGAGGGTTCAGGTGGGTGCTGCGCTCCCCGGCTGGCCCTGCTCTCATGCTCGCAGCCTCCGTCACCACGAAGCCCTTCTGTAAAGACAGGATTAGCCTTCCTTGGTTTTACTCCTCATTTTTACTCCTACAGTAAAGCGTACACTGAACTTACTACATATTAAACAGCAAAAACCAGCTACCTAGAACCAAAGAGCACTTTAAAAATCCAAGTTATCACATCTCTTTTTTTTTTAAAAAGATCCAGTATGACATCAAGTTAAACTATACAGTATTTTTAATGAATATTAACAAACTGCTTTAAAAAAAAAAAGCAAAAAGAAAAAAAGAAAAGGAAAAAGAAACACAGACAGAAAACTCAGTAGGAAGTTCTACATCTCTGAGGCAGCATGAAGTAAGATAACCATCAGCCCCTCTTCCTTGGACAGCAGAGAGCAGGGTCTGCTTTAACCTCCTTAAAGCTGCGCATGAAGAAGACTCAGCCCCAAGGTCAGACCTGTCACTGAACTGTCCCAGCCCCTGAAAAGGCACCCCGTTCCCCCTCACCGTGCTGGAAATGGAAACGAAAGCCTTTCTCCACCTTTTAGATGAGCATTCCCTACCGGCAAAGCAGGCACAGCCCAACTCTCTGCAAGGTTAATCTGTCTATACTTGCCATGGACAACATTTATTAAACTTGTCCTAACTACCTGTGCAGCACGTGGGCAACTTACTGGCTGCTGTTCACTAATTACAGCTCGTCACAATATTCCTACCTCGTATGAGGGCCAGCCAAGATCACAGAAGAGCTGAGGCTGGCAGGGACCTCTGGAGATCATCTAGTCCAACCCCCTGCTCGAGCAGGGTCAGCTACAGCAGGTTGTCCAGGACCGCATCCAGTCAGGGCTTCAGTATCTCCACAGATGGATATTTAACATCTTAGTATCTCCAAAGACGGAGAGGGGAAGGCTGGTGAGCAACTCAGTAAGCAAGCCTTCAACCTCCAAGGCATCTAACTGGCACGTAACGGGTCTCTCGGTCATGAGAAGCCAGTAAAATCCTGCAGAGGAAAACACCTGAGGCTGCATCGACCTTGCTAGGGGAAATTTATTTTTAAGTGATGTTTACAAGAACTGTGCAAAACCTGAAAAATACAGAAGAGGTAAAGAAAGAGTAAAGGGGTAAAACAGGATCCTGCAAGAGGGGAAAAAAAAAATACTCCTCCTTTACCCACTGCTAACCTTCCCCTCCCCATGGAGCCGAGTCCCAGGCCAGGAAGGATTCTCCTGGCTTGCTCTGCTTCCCCTCCAGCAAATCAGACACCAAGCTCCCGGCACACAGCGTGGGTTACCGTCGACGATGGTAACATCTCCAAAGTTGTAGGTTATTAGTAGTGTTCGCCTCACCCTTTAGTGTTCGAACTGCTGGGACGGCCCTTTGCCTGACCCCCCTGGAGGTATGCTAACAGCCCAAGCGGTGCAAAGAGGGAAAGGGCCTGGGGCTGGAGGCAAGTTTTGGCAGGAGAGCTAGGTCCCTCAAGAAGCTGCTCTTAAACGCCAGGCTCTCGGGCAGGAGCAGGGCACGGAGGCTCTCCTCACCACGCGCTCTGGTGGTGGCGCAGCGCTTGCTGCTGGCAGGGATGGGGGGCGGGCAGGCTCAGAACCCTTGCAGAGTGTGACAGCCAGCGACTGCAGAAGCAGAAATGCCAAAGTGCTTTTTGGAGCTGTGCAGCCCATGGCTTTTCCCTTTCTATGCTCTAGAAAGAGGGAGAGCAGGGGAGGTTGGAGCAGTCAATCAACGCTAATGATCTGAAATGGTCCTCTCAATTGAGCTTGGACCGAGAAAGTCGGGAGATCCCAGCAGCGGAAGCCTTCTACTTCCTCGCCGAGCAGCGTACCCCGGGATAAGAGAGGGCTGACTCTGCCTTGCTCCCAAGCCCTCTCCAGGAGGAGAGTTACCCAGCCCTCCCCGCCGACCCCGCCAGGCAGGGCAGGGGAAAGAGGCCACACGCGAAGGGCTGCTGCCCACAACGGGCAGCTGAGCTCCCAGCACTGGAACTGCAGGTACAGCGTGAACTACAGCCCAGGGGACACCAGGCAACTACAGGCATTGTTTCCTCTTCCCACCTCCCTCCTCTCCTCTCCACCCCTTCGAGCTTGTCACGTCGTCCGTCGCCCCTGTGATACAGGTGGCCTATCAACCACAGAGGCCAGAGGAAAGTTTACCTGCCCGCCCACCATACCTCCCATTTCCCCCAAACTCCCTGGAGACCGTCTACAACCGAGGAGAGGGAATGGGAGGCCAAGGCTCAGGAGCGTCACACGCAAGCTGAAAGCCGCCGAGGGGCGGCAGGCTCACGGCAAGCAGGCAGCCACCTGGTAGGCGCCCTCGGCCGTGTGCTGGACGCTGTGCTCCTGCAGCAGGCCCAAGTCCAGGAACCGTTCCCCGCACCACATGCACTTGTACTGCTGCTCCCGGGCGTGCACGCTGTGGTGCTTGTTGAGGTGCTCGCGCTGCTTGAAGGCCTTCTCGCAGGAGGGGCACTTGTAGGGCTTCTCGCCCGTGTGCACGCGCCGGTGGCGCTGCAGGTCCGAGGCGTACTTGAACCGCTTTTCACAGTCGGGGCACTTGAGGGGCTTCTCGCGGGCCGGGTCGCAGCGGTGCTGCACAAACTCGGAGGAGGAGAAGAAACGTCTCTCGCAGAGCGTGCACTTGAGCGGCTTCTCGGCGCAATGGGCCAGCTGGTGCTTCTGCAGAGCCGAGGCCCGCTTGTAGGACTTGTTGCACACCGCGCACTTGAAGGGCCGCTCCGCGTTCTGCACGCACTTGTGCCGCAGCAGCTCCGAGGACTGGTTGAAGCCTTTCTGGCACACGTTACACTTGAAGAGGTTTTCTATGCCGTGCACGTGCTGGTGGTACACCAAATGCGAGGGCTGCACGAAGCCCTTCTCGCACAGGTTGCACTTGAAGGGCTCCTCGGCCTTGTGCGTGCGGCGATGGCGCATGAGCGCATACTGCTGCTTGAAGCTCATCTGGCAGAGGTCGCACTTGAAGGGCCGCTCCTCGCTGTGCGTGCGCTCGTGCTGCCGCAGGTCCGAGGGACGCTTGAAAGCCTTCTGGCACTCACCGCAGCGGAAGGGCCGTTCCCCGCTGGGCGTGCAAGGGTGCTGCAGCAGCTCTGACGACTCCTTGAAGTGCAGCTCACAGACGTTGCACTTGAAGAGGTGCTCCCCTGAGTGCGCGTACATGTGGCGCACCAGGTGGGAGCGGTGCTTGAAGGTCTTCTCACACACTGTGCACTTGTAGGGCCGCTCCGAGCTGTGCGTCCGTTTGTGGTGCACCAGGTGGGACGACTGGCTGAAGCTCTTGTCGCACAGCGTGCACTTGTACGGCTTCTCACCCGTGTGGATGCGCTCGTGCCGGGACAGCTCCGAGAGGTGCTTGAAGGTTTTCTGACAGATGGAGCAGCTGTAGGGCTTCTCTGAGGGGTCGAGAGGCTGCGAATGCTCTGCCTCGGGAGGCTTATAGGTCTTCTCACAGATAGAGCACTTCATGGCATTGCCGTTGTGGACATTGTGGTGCTGCGCCAGCGAGGTCAGGAGGGAGAAGCCCATCTTGCAGACGCCACACACAAAGGGCTTCTGCTCCACCTGGATGCACTGGTGTTCGAGGAGGTCGGTGGCCTGGTGGAAGATCTTCAGGCACTGGGTACACTGGAAAGAGCGGTCATGGCCTGGCAAGCACTGGTGCTCATGAGGGTTGGAGAGGTGAGCGAGGTCATGGCCGCACACACCACATTTGTGGGATGGCTCTCCAGCCTGGATGGCGGCGTGCTGGTGGTGCTGCAGACCGGGGTCCGGCTGGAGCAGGATGCCGTAGACAGCACAGCCCAAGGGGTTGTCAGCAGTGCTGGGCGGGATGGAGTGCTCTGGGAGGGCGGCTGCCCCAGTGTGGTGCTGCTGCGGTGGCGGCGGCTGCTGTGGTTGCTGCTGTTGCTGCTGCCAGCTTTCTGACATGCTTGGGAAAAAAAAACGGGATTTTAGCAGTGACAGCTTCAGCTTCTCGGTTGAAAGGGTTCAAGTAAAAACAAAAATCAAAAGTATCCAAGATCCTGACTCCCCGTAGCTGATCCCCTGAAGTCGAGGACAGAAAATCCAGCCCACAGCCAGGATCTTGGGAGGCAAAGAGGTGACTGAGACTCCACAGCCTCCTCCTTAGATCAGCACAAGTTCTTTGTGGACTGGTTTGGTTTGGCTTTTTCTTTTTTGGACAAAAAAACAGGAGGCAGAAGCAAGTGCCTTGAAGACAAGAGGAGGCCCTTCTCCGAGCTGGCTGCGATGTGCTCACATTTGGGAAGGGCGAGGGAGGCAGCCCAGGGAGCAGCACTCTCTGCAAGGAAGAAGACAGCTCATGTCAGGTCTTGGAGGAAAGACGGGCAACTCTTTAGTCAACCTCCCCCTATGGCTCACTTTGAAAACTCTCCTGCGTCCCTGCAAAGCTACCAGGAAGCCAGGGTGGGGGAGCTAACCAGAACCGAAGCCCGTCTTGTTGCTGTGCAAAGGGCCTGGGACAAGGCGTGCTCAGCCCGCAAAGGGTCAGGCTCTGCCCGGCCACAGCCAGGTATGCGTTTGAGCGGCGTGCTCTCACGAGAGGCAGCACAACCGCCCAGGTCCCAGCCAGCTCAGCTGTTACCCTGTACGCTGTCAGTCGCTGGATCTCCCGCTGGCTGGAGATCGGTCTCACGGGCTGAGGTACACCAAATACTGTGCAATCAAGAAGCTGCTGGGTTAGATTTTACAGATACCAAGGCAGATCCCAACCTGGTCCCACCCCAGCTGAAACACCCCTGTGAAGCTGTTGTGCTCCTCCTGCAGCTCGGATATTGGGCACATTACCCAAGGGATGCATGTAAGAGATTTCCCCCTCTCCAGGCAGCACTTGTAGACTAGGAAGAGCCAGAGAGCTCAGGTGAAGGTTTGTGCTCAACGTTATCCTATCCACAGACAAAACACAGAACCCGCAGGTATCGTGCACAGCACTCTCTGTGAAGATAAAAGAAGTGTTAAAGCAATGGCTCGGCTGAAACTCCTACCAAACCACGGAATAAAAGTACACTGCAGCCAAACAACCTACACCAGAGGTGCTGCCTGGCCTACTACAGAGCATCACAGGGGTTTTGCTTACTGAAAAGTTCCAGTCTTTCTAGAGATGCCCAGTAAAACCTGGTATCAACTTAGAGAAGAGTAAAACCTACCAGTGAGCAGCAAATAGCAGCAATGCCAACACGCCTCAAGAGAGAGGAAGGGTCCAGGCCTTGGTGAGCAGCAGCAGCTCCTGGGCCACAAGCCCCTAAGCCCGCAAAAGCACACCCGTTTCTGCGTCAAGCCACCTGCCCTCACCCAGGGTAAGTAAAATCTTGGTCTTCCAGGAAGGAGTTTGTTGTATTTAAAACTAAGCGATAAAGAGCATCAGAGAAAGCCACTTCCCAGCGTCCCCACCTCCCCCAGCACTCAGCTGAGACCGGATTGTGCCCCACAGCTTGGGCAGCGCTGGACCGCGCTTCTGCCTACAGGAACACTGCATTACTTTGTCCGCCGGCACAATTTTGGGCAGTAAAATTCCCAAAGGCGCCATCGCACGCCTGCCGGTTTGCAGGATCTCCTCTTTCTGCTACGTAGCTCACCTTGACTGTCGACACGAAGGGAGGGCTTGCAGTTACGATACCTAGCACCTGAGCTCGACA